GAAATCAAAACACGAGATACATCCTCATGACGCGGATTTCACCGTTGTCAAGTTGGTAACCAGAGTCTCCTGGAGGGAGAGCGAGCATTGTGTGTATAGATCTATACGGGACAGACCATCCCACATCCTGACTGCTAGCTACAGTCCCGGCCGACCAAGCCAAGGGGTGACAAATGTCACATTCATTTCGACGTCAGCGGGTCGTCGTGTTTACATCCGTCAATCAGTATGGTTACGAGTATCTTTACATTAACTTATAATTCATGGCTTTAAGGTAAGTATGATCATGGTATTTCCTACATATAAAACCATCATAATATATTTTCCTAGTTATACACTAGGCCACATATTAAACCTTTAAACCAACCTCCTTAGGATTAAAGGCTACTTTAGACTCCCCGAGGTGTATTGTCCATTTAATACTACCTGGAGTCTGTATTTACTACTTTAGACTCCCCGAGGTGTATTGTCCATTTAATAATACCTGGAGTCTGTATTTACTATTTTAGACTCTCTGAGGTGTATTGTCCATTTAATACTACCTGGAGTCTGTATTTTATTATTTTAGACTCCCCGAGGTGTATTGTTCATTTAATACTACCTGGAGTTTGTATTTTATTTCTTTATAAACAGCAACGTCATTGCTGAAATAAAGCATTATTTTCCCTATTACTTTTACTTGTGATCTTCTCACATGTTCATTAAAGTATAAACTATATTTTGATAATGATAGTAACTTTTGGGGGGAAATACTCCTTAAACAATAAAACAGTCGGGTCTTGGTAGAAGACTGCTTTTAGAAAAGAAACTCATTTCGTTTAAACATAAAACAATCGGGTCTTGGTAGAAGACTACTTTTATTTGAAAATATAAGATTTTCTGGAAGGAATTCTAATACTCTGTAAACTCAAATCACCATCATCTAATGAGAATATTTTGAAGAAAATATGTATTTATATCAATGTCATTAAAATACTTATGAACTCACTAGCATTAAAAATGCTGATACTCTCTTTCAAAATAACTTGTATTCTCAGGTCATCAGTAGACAGGTACACTCCAGGAGCTTTTGCGAAGTCAGCCTAGTACCAAGCTGCAACTTATGTTATTTTTCTATATCTACTTTTGAATGTTGTTGCTAAATGTAACCTATGTAAAACTTATACTATTAATGCAATGGTTGTTGTACTTTGATTACTATACTGCATGTGTTGTGATACTTGACATGACGTCCTCCACCCCAGGACGTTTTCGCCGTTCCGGTTTTGGGGTGTGACATCTAGGAATAGGCGTTTCATTCTAAACATCATCCGCATCGCTCATATAGTCTTCCACTACAACTCGATCAAGAGGATCACAAACTTTTGACGTAGAAGGTTGATCACTGTTAACATTTTCCATTGAATTATGACATATTTCTTTGTCTTTCGCCATCAAATTGACATTAATAAAAGATAATCAAGAACAATAGACACTTTCCTGAGCTTCAATTTCACTGATATTTTCAAAATCATCTTCGATGTCAGCGAAATTTTGTTGAGAATCAAATGTCGAATTCTCAGTCATGTTCCAAATTTTAACTTCTTCATTTTTAGTGACAGTTTCATTAATAGTATACAAAAGATTATTATCATTTAAGCACGCACCAATCTTAACTATTCCATATGCATACGAATCATTAGGAACTTTATCGAACTTGGAAATTTTCTTTTCACAATCATACGAAGTTGCATCTACTTTTTCTCTCTGATAAGTTAAGAAAGGAAGTAACTTTCAATGCTGTTCTTTGCAATTATCAAATGAATGATGCAATTCAGTTAGTTTAGCATACAAACGTTTAGCAGAATTACAATAAATGTTTCCCTGTTTAACTAACAACATGTTATCAGTCCTAACAGAATCTATATCTACTATAATGTTCCTTAATTGAAGCTCTAAATCTCTATCATACGCCTCTTAACTTCCATTTTGTTTCGAACATCATATAGTAATAATTTCGATTGTTCAACTTCTCTACTCATGGAAATCAACATATCATTAAGATAAAAAGAGTATCATCAAAATCTGTTAATACTGCATGATAAGTACTTGAAGGAATTTTAAGAGATTCAAGAAAATTATCTACCTTCGACTTCATTGGATATTTTTCAGAACCTATTGAAATAAAGCATCTTCCTGAGATCTTCTCATCATCCGAACCACCTTCTTCGAATTGAACATACATAGCTCCATGTGTGGGATTCCTCATCTCCTCATCATCAAACCCCAAAGACCACATTTGATACATCCCATCATTCTCGTCTCCTGCTTTAGCCATCAAGGAGAGTCCTTTGGTTCGAGCCTTCAACTCCTCAATATTTTAGGCGTAGTTTGCTTCATCTTTCACTTTCCCTCCTTCTTTTCATCCTTCTTTCACAACATACAATCTTTTTCCAAGCGATTCGAACCATTGTAATAATTGCAATCATAGCCTGAATCCCCTTTAAGCTTCATTGGCTTCTTTTCAACCACATTCTTCACTTCCTTCTTTTTCTCCTTCGACTCAACCTTTACACCTTTTCCAATTGAACTATTCCCCTTAAACTCACTATTGTTCTTGTACTTCAGATTGAACAACTTTTTGAAGAACTGTTTCACTTTGTTATTCAAATATTATGCTACCGCTTTATCTTTAGAGTTAACCATAAATCCTTCTTCTGCAAGGTTATCTTAGATTCCACTTCAAAATTCTTGGTAGTCACTTTCGACATCAGAGCCAAAGGTCCTCCTAAGATCAATTTTCCTTCTTCAACAATTTTGATTATCTCACTTTCATGGTGCTTAAGAACGTTATACAGATCAGCCAACGAATAACGATCGAAACTCTGTTGAGTTTTGATCATCAGGCTAATGTTCCTCCATTTTTTTCTCAATCCCATCAAAAAAGTCAGATTGTATTCCAGAGTTAAACGGGTAACACCATAATGAGTGCATTTGAATATCAATTTGTTTAAACAATCATAGTATAACTCGATTGATTGGTTATCTTTCTGCTTGAACTCATACATTTCTAACAAACATTGCTTCACATAGCTTTTCTTTGTCATTACATTGCCTTGATATTTTTCGTTCAATGTGTCCCAAATCTCCTTTGTTGTTTTGCAAATTCGAACGTAGTTGTAAACTACTGGTGGAAGATCACCACGTAGTTCATGAAGGCATTTCTTATCATTAGCTTCATGTTTATCCATTCGCACCGCAACATCAACAGAAGAACCAACAGTTCCAACTTGTTCAAGCATACCAGGACAATAATTTTCACTTCTGATACACCTCCACAGATCGTCATCTATTACGTTGAGATATTTGTCCATTATGTCGGCCCACTACTCATAGTATTCATGAATGAGCATTGGAATCTCGGTTGACGATCCAAGCAAGTGAGAAAAACTCGACATTGTGTTCATGTTAAAGTTCGCCATTGTTGTACGGACAAACATGATTTTTGATTCAAAAAGAGATATGAAATGAGAATCAAACATAAATTGACCAATAATCACTCAATCTAACAACCATAGTGCGGAATCGAAACAAAACAATCAATTGAGACAAGTTTTCTAAATCAATATTGCAGAAAACTTTGAATCAGAAAGAGCGATTCAAAAAATATGAAAAATATGAGAAAATTGAAACTGGTTGAATGAATCCTGCTCTGATAGAAGTTGATGTGTATTAGAATCGAGTAACGAATATGTAATCAATCATAGAAAATAGAAAGAACACATCGAGTAAATAAGATTTACTTGGCTCATATTTCATTTGTAACGAGTACAAGAGTTTTAGAGAGTTTTCAACAAAAAAGAGAACTGTTAGGAATAAAATCCTTTAAGATCGTTTAGATTCAAACAGGTAAAGTGATAACACGATATGAAAATAAGAACACAAGATGTACCAACTGGTGTCGAATGATTAAAGACACAACCTCAGAAGAACTCTATAAAGAATTGCTAATGTAGAGGCGTGCTAGGGTTACAGAGAAAAGATTAATTCAACAACTAGCAACTACGGTGCATGCATGCACTATTTATACTATAACCCTAATAATAAATACGGTTGGACAGGCCAAAACCGTGTACATAATGGACAGCCCAATGACGCAATCTAATATACCCAACAATCTCCCCCTTTGCGTCAATTGAGGCCCGAACCCTTCAGCCTTGGATTCGATTTTGTACATTGTACACCTTCGGAATCATGGCATATATCGCTTGGCACACTTCAATGTACCATAGAAAAATGTCTGAGAAGCACTTGATGTCTTCTTTCTTGTTTCCTTTGAACTTGCTCACTTGGTCCAAAATAAACTCAAGGAAATTTGTGGTATAGAGATGCTTATCAGAAAGATAGAAGCATCCTTTGCGATAGTCTGCTCTAGTTCGTTCCCTAGCAGAGTAAACCACAAACCAATCTCCATTGTGAAGTTTCCCTGGCGTCAACTTTTCAAAATCCTTAAGAGTTTCCATAAGAGCAGCCGAAGGCTTCTTTCTCAGAACAGTAGCCACTTCAACATCCATCTCTCTAACCTCCTGAATATACGATTTTATCATGAGCTTGAGATGAGACATGACAGGTTCATACTTTTATTTGTCCTTTAGCAATATGTTGTAAAGAATGAACCAGTCATATGGGTTAAGGCATGGAAGATCTACAAGAGTAAACTCATAACATTGGCTATCTGAACCACTTGCCACTTTGAACTTTGCGTTTGGAAAGTTATCAGTCTCTATCAGCCCTGTAACTTTAACACCGATAATTTTGCTTAATGACCAGGTCTCATACTGAGGCTTCATATGCTTCAGATAGAACGAAAACAACATATGATCAGCTCTGCTGTCTGTGAATGGAGCGTTGGCCACTTTAACAAAAGAGCGAAATTTGAAAGCTTTTAGAGTAATTGGCAGATCCAGTTGTGAGTCTCGTGTGCTCTGAAGATCAAATGAAACTACTGGTTCTGACCAATACTAGGTTGGAAGATCAACTGCATCATACTGCATTCGCTTTGGGGTCCATTGGGGGAACAAGAGCTTTTTGCTCTGAAGAGTAGCTTGTGCTTCTTTGTCAGCCCTTTCTTTTTCTTCAGCTTCACGAATGATCCGTTGATGCTCATCCAGTTCAGCTTCATGAACTTTTCGTCTTTTCAGTTTGTCTTCGGTAAGCTCCTCTTCTTCTTCATTATCAATTATTGGGTCATCACGAAACAGCTTTTCCTTGCCTTTAGGTTTGTTCTTGACAATAGGCTTGACAGGTGCTGTAGGTCCTTCTTTTCTTGATCCACCATCCATACTTTCTGCTCCTTGTTTCAGATTAAAGGTTTGATCAGAAACACCTTCAAGGCAGTGAAGCATGGCGAAGACTGGCCTTAATTTTTCTGCCAGATGCTTACGCATGGTGATGGTGATCATGGAGTCTCTGGTCTCAATGATATCCCAGAGCATGCCAGTAACATCAGTGATACAGCTGCGCATGATTGCCCTCTCAGATAACAGATCATGGACCTGTTTCTCTGAAGCTTCAAGTTTGGTGCTTAACACCTTGGCTTCTTCGGACTTAAGAGCGAGAGAGTCCTTCAGATTGCTCTCCTTCACCAGTTGATCTTTAATCTGAGAAAACTAAGGCAAGATAGTAGCTTGGAACGATGCATGGTCAGTTTTAAGACCAGTACGAATCTCTTCGAGTTTCGTCTTCTCAGTCTTAAAGAGCGAACCCAAACTCTTCTATGCTTCGTTTGCTGATGTGGTATTGGAATTAAAAGTGGTTTGAAAGTTCTCCATGAAATAGTTAGTGTCTTCAATTAGTTTATCGACTTTTTCGGTCGTTGACTTGTTAGAGATAAGCAGTTGGTCAATCTTTTCATGGAGGGACTGGAGTTGCCCTTTCGTGACTTACATATCTTCTTGATTCTTAGTCCAGATTTGGAATGGACTGTAAGTAAAACCACCAAGATCTTCATCGTCGTCATCACAAAAGACCATTTCTGGATAATTACGATTAAGAGGGGAAATTGGAGATGAAACATGAGTGGAGAAACCTAAAGATTAAGCCCCCGTATCATATACGTTGACCGAAACAACAGGTGGGATTGAGGTAGTGACAAAACCTGAAGTCGTTTCCCCCGCATCAGATGCGTTGACATTGACGAGAGGTTCCCCTGTGGTGGTTGTTGTAGTAGTTTCAGTGAAGATGGGCGGCGGTTGGGTAGTAGAAGTGAGTGTTGTAGAAATAACAGGTGGTTGTTGTGATGAAACTGGTGTTGGTTGAGATGAAATTGGTGGTGGGCAAGGAGCGATTGCAATAGGAATAGTAGTTTGAGTAGGAGAAGGAGGTGGAGTTGGAATTGAATTGATTAAAGGTACCTCTTGATTTGGAAAAGGTGGAGGCGAATCACCACGAAGCGAACCATCAGATTGAGAACCTTCGCCTTCGCTTGATTCTCCTTAGCTGGATCAGAAGGAACATACCCAGTGTCGCTTGTGGAAGATGAGTTGGGCCTTAGAATCATCCTTCTGAGCTTTTGTTTCTTTGGAGCCGATGGAGCGGCACCTTGAGTCTTTCGTTTCTTAGGAGTAGGAGCTTGAGAAGATTGACCTTCTTGAACCCCTTTCTTCTTATCTCACTTCTTCTTGTCTCCCTTCTTTCCTCCCTTTTTGGGTTTATCAGCTTCATTTAAGCAGCGTTGCATCTCAGAAGTAAGCTCCCTAGGACCTGAAACAGGCTGCTTCTTGTACTCAGTGATGAATTTGCTAGCCCCAGAAACACACCTGTACATAGTCTTCAGAATTGACCCCACAAATAAAAACTGCTAATTATCAGCGATGATAATCTTTGTCAATTGCCCTCTGCAGTACTATCGTCCAGAAGTATCTGCAAGAGATCTCGCTGTGTCAAGATGAGGAATCCATACTCTGCACTAATTGAACCCACAACACTGAACCATAATCAAGGTTAATCCCATGGTAGAGGCCATAAAGGATTGTCATAAACAATTTGCTAGCACAGTCAGACCCAGATACTCTCTCAGAAAATGCTTTGAAGAGTAGAGTAAACAAACCATTCCATTGGGGTGGGAGAGAAGATTTCTTGAACTTGGTGATTGTGGTGAGAATTTCAGTATACCTCATGTGATAATACATCTCGAAGATCTGACCAGTGGTGATGGACTCTGGATTCACCATTGAATCGACATAGGTGATAGATGTCGAATCCATCAAACAAATAAATCCTATTTGCACTTATATGATCTAAAAATAATAGTAATAGTGGCAAACAGGGTCGATCATCAGGGACTCGGTTTTAATCCATAAATACACTAAAAGAGTCATGTTTTTATTCCAATGCATAAAAAGTAAATGCGGGGGATGATTTATTCAAACGAGTAAATCCGGTTTCGAGTTATACTCACCTAATGATGCAAGCTGATGATAAATTGATGTCAAATTAAATTCTAATCTAAGTTGGTACTTGAAAGCATTAACAAGCTCTAACACTTCCCATTCATCAAATTGTTTAACCAAAAAAAGCTCTTTGAATTAAACCTAACCTTACTAACCTACTCTAAACAAGCTCTTAGAAATAGATTGAAAGATCGCATTAAGTTTTGTGCAAATGTTCCCAACAACATCCAATACTCCTCACAAGCTCGGGAGTGTAAAGATGTGTGATTTTGGTTTACATTAAAATCATTTAATGTTTGTTACTTGTTTTAATTCACAAAACAATTACGGGTTTTGCAAATCAAATAACTTGAATGATCTAACCCTAATTCAAGTGGCCAACATGAATCAAAATTAAAATCAAACATTTTAATTAACACAAAACCAAATTCACCAGATAGAATACAAATTCAACATCAAATCATCTGATCAACTACATAAAAAGGAAGTTCAAACTACAAAACCGGATGTGTTAACTAAAATACGATAAATAAATACTACAAATTACTAACTAGTTGATGATTGAATTAGCATCAAAAGACTTATTTAGACATGTGATCATGGATTGTTACGTGTAATGATTTTTATACAATTCCTAGTTTGGTCGTGGTTGTCAACAAGCTCTGACAACCCATTTCGCCAGACACTCAATTAAAACAAGCTATTTAACCAAGCTGCAAACTTTTCTAACTAAAATGGGTGTTTTAATTAGAACTGACTCACTACAAAATTATCAAACCAGCAATTTGTAATTAGGTGAGAGTCGCATTAAAATACAAACGAAACACCAAACACAATGAACCCTCACGTAAGTTCAGAGAAGTTACATTGTACCAACATGATTTCATAACACAAGTGTATTATTTGCTTCTTAGACCAATTAAAAGAACAATTACGGATTCAATTAATTGATTAGCAATTCATCGTTAAAACCCTAACTAGGTTGCTCAAGCCCAACTAAAACTGTAACAACAAAATTAATGAAAATCAGAAATCATATGGATAGGAGTGTATTAAATCTAAATAACAATCTCACACAACGATCTAAAACAAGTCTAAATAATTAAACTAATTCAAGCGTCAAACCCGGTGGTTTAGCCGTTTAAGACGGCTAAACCTCGGAAACTACATATCAATCAACAAAAATTAAAACTTACTACAAGAAACTAAGATTGTTTTGATGCTAAATAAATCTTCAAATGGCCGCTTTCTGTTTTTTTTTCGTGCGTCTGCAGTTATTCCTCCCCAATTCGATGTGTGCTTCTATGTATATCCGATCCATGCCCTCCTTTTTTTTCTTTGTATCTCACGTGACCTTTCTTTAATTCATGGGTGGGCAAAACACATAATACGGGACTACAATTTAATTCATTATTTGGGCTGCTATGAATTTCCAAGATGGGCAGCCAAATGGAATTAAAAACAAATCATATTTTTGGGCTAAACTTAAATCACAATGGGCTGTCATTGTAGGGTCCTGGACAGAATTTTTGCTGCTGATGATGTGGCCCAAAGGTGAAACAAACATCGTCCAGATCCGATCTCCACTGTTCATATTAAAGATCTATGAGTTAGCTAGATGTCGGTAAAATTTCAGCTCGATCGGACCACGTTTACCCCTCGATCTAATTACTTTACCAAGACTGCGCATTGCTGCCAAATCTCCAAAAAAAAATCTTTAAATCACTTCGTTTTATTGTTTTATCGTGGATGTTGATACGAGACTTCAAACGTGTTGCAAGGCTTTCCATGTGACTTCTATTGGTCATCGAAGATGTCATTACCCGCTTACATAAATCTGCACAAATTAAGCTTAAACGAGTAAAATTGTCCCAAACAAACAATGTAATAAAACGTATGAAATGCATGCTAAATATACACAATATGTCATGAAAATAATTAAGAAAATGTATTAAAATGATACGTAAAAATGAACCTAACAATAAGCTAGCCCTAAAAGAGAGCAAAACCTAGATTTAGAGACCGAGTGCTTCTTATCAAGAACTTCGAAGATAATCTTTTCCTCCTCCTTGAGATACTTAGCAGACGAGAAGGCCTTCGATAATAGGGACCTATGAACGCATTCAACCTTGGTTATGGCATTAACCAAAGGTGAGTACTTCAAGCACTCGACGATGGGAAGCATGTACGGATCATACTTGAACGGAGCCAAATCTAGGATCAAGTTTTGGTTGGGCTTGATTATGAGAAAAGAAGACTGAGCAGAGTGTTCTTGAACAGAGGAAGAATCGGCCATTGTTGCAGTTTCTTGAAGAAGATGAACAGTAAGAAAGAAATCGCCTTTTAGGGTTCTTGAAAGTGGTAAAGAGTAACTTAATAATCGATAACCCCTTTTATACAATTGCCCAAGAGAGAGAATCGAATCGTCAATCGCGTAAAATTCTCGTAACCAACGCCTAAAAAGACGTGATTTGACAACTGTTCCCCTGAAAAGTATGGCAAGCGGCATGACGATTGGTGACGTTTCAAATTCACGTGCCTTTTGTTTGAAATCCTATCCCTTTTCCGCATCAGCAATAACTTGTTCTCAATGCTTCAGTTCTCAATTAAATGTAGAAGCGAAACATCATTAGTTCTGTAACACAAAAGAACCATAATCACCCCGAACAAGACTTTTGGAAAATCAATACATTTTCGTGCAAGAGTGTGCCAAAGAAAAAGAAATAAAACAAATTATATCTGTGGGATTTAATTGATGTCAACAGAGACACGAAACTATGGATCCCGGGCACGAATCTCATTTTTCAAAGTCAATAGAGACTTAGAAGTGTCTGTGTGGTTTCCCGTTGAAATACGATCAATTATTTGTTAAGAAACATTGAAAGGCATCTTTTAATCACGGCTATAAGGGTGGCTTTCGCTTCAATAAAACTACGAAACTTGTCATAAGTCTGAAAGTTAGTTGAAGTACTTGTGTGGCCAGTGTAGCTATAAACATCAAGTAGGTTTGATAATTTTGTAGTGACTTGGGAAAAGTTTAGAAATCTCAAAAACAAAAATGAAATTGGATCTTT